TTACTGTATGTGCTATCATATCATTGATCATCATTATAGTATCTCTGCGACCAACGATAAAGACGTCGTCAAGAACCAAATTGCCAGGGCCTTGTTGGAGCGCATCCTCCGCGCCGCCCAAGAACAAGCAAAGTTCCATGTCAGTACTTTCGTCTTTAGTCCAGAAGCTCGATGCTGACATATATTCATTTCTGCTCAGGTTGTTGTCGTCATCCCGGAAGTTCCAGGCTTCTCAGGCAACATTGCAGACGAGTCAGCTATCAAGACCATTATGGCCGCTCAATGGCGTACTATCAACCGCGGCGGTAATAGTATCTATGAGAAGATTAAGGAATTTGGATTCGATCCGTATGTTTTTCTTTCTTTGTGGTCAGCGTGCTAAGCTGATTATGCTGTGGTTCGTAGGATGCAGTATATCCGCTTCTACCACTTAAGGGCTTATGATCGCATTAATGCTCCTTATCGTATGTATCCTCCTTGAGGCTGTTAAAAAGATATTTGATCCAATCACTTCACAGCGTCCTTCATATCTAAGATGGAGAAGAATAGCGACGTATCCTTCTTCAAAGCTCAGGTGGCACTCGCTCGCGTCTGGCTCGGCCGTGACTTTGGAGAACATGACACGCAAAAGAAGGTCAGGATCAAGATCCCACATGCTACCGGTGAAGGTGTCGTCGAAGCAAAGAAGGATGAACAACAGGAGATCGTCGAATTCCCTTTGCCTGTATCCGAAGAAGAGGCGATAAGAACCATCAAGCAGTTCGAGAGAGGTGCGGAAGGCATTAGAGGGGATGATGAGGTTGCGGATTCGGTTGCGCAACATATGTTGCATGATAGGACTAGCTTATTGAAGGAGAGATGGTTGGGCTCTGAGGAGGAGGAGAGGAATGCGTAGGTTTTCGCTGTGGTAATGTTTCTTTAATTCGTTTGCTGATGCCTTTGGATCTTGCAGTTATGTATCTGAGCTGCTTTATATTCACTCCAAGGTATGTATGCATACATTCGCCTTCATCCTGCATATACTGATGTCTTCCCTCCACAGCTCATGATCATTGATGATCGTATTGTCGTTGTACGTGATTTGCGTTGTGGCTACTACAAGCACCATTTCATGCTGACGTCTTTGTAGATGGGGTCTGCCAACCTCAATGACCGTAGCCAGAAGGGCGACGGCGACTCCGAAATCGCATTGGTAGTCGAAGACACGGATGAGATCCCGTCTCGCATGAACAACCAACCTGTATGTACATGTTCTCATTGATTCATATAGTCATTGCTAACTTAAGCGGTATCTAGTACATGGCTACTCGCTTCGCTGCAACCCTTCGTCGTCAACTCTACAGAGGTACATCGCGACCTCATCTATGCTATTGACACACATATCTGACTGACTTCTTTCTTCAGAGCATCTTGGCCTCATCCTTCCTCAGAACCTCGATGGCCCCCGCGATCCCATCACATCCTTCATGCACGCCGCCCCTATCCCCAACGACTACGACGAGAACTCTCGTGAAGACAGGCTCGTCGCTGATCCGCTCTGCGACAACACCATGAATCTTTGGCAAGGCACCGCCAAGAAGAACAGGGATATCTTCACTGAGGTATTCAGGCCTGTGCCGTCTGACCTTGTGCAGAACTTCGAAGTGTACAAGGTATGTTATCACTCAGGGCTTTATCTCTTCTGTTTACTCAATTGCTTGTAGAATTATGTGCCGAAGGTGAAGAGTGGACATATTGTTCCTGATATCCCGTTGGAGCATGCCAAGGAACGTCTGAGCGATGTAAGTGATGATACCATTCAAGGAAAATGACTTCGCTATAACAAACCTTATGTAGATTCGCGGAGCTCTTGTCGAGATGCCTCTTCAGTTCTTAGCTGATGAGAAGTCCCTGATTGATGTGCGTATTCAAGTACCTTTATCTTCCTGTCCTCATCCTGATTGTCGTTCGTAGGGTCCTGAGTGGAAAGGCCTCAACCCCACCTTACCGATTTACATATAACGATAATGATTTAATGATTGACTGCTTGATTTATACCAGTACAAGTTTTGATGGACAAATGAAGGATATCTCTTACTAAGTAAAGGACTACTATATATATTGGAATTGTTTTGATCACTTGTAGGAATGGCAGACAGCGTGTTTATATTGTTGGTACCTTGGAAAGGATGTTCGGGGAATACAATATTATCTTTTGAATAAGTCTTTGACCTGAATAAGAGAAGATTGCAAACTTCATATGGCGCTTTGCCTTCAGCATCGCGTAGTTCGTGTCGAAGTATCGAAGATACAATGTGTAGGAAATTTCACTGATGTGAGTACATAAAATATATCTCTCCTCTCATAACATCTGACTAATTCCGACTTTGGTAGCCTGAGATGTCTAAGACTCGAAGGCGATGAAAGCACCCTTAGCAACCACCATAAACTTAGGAATCTCTAAGCTGTCAGTTATTTGCTCCATATACGTCATGAATATACTTGAAGACATCCGTTAGTTATATATCTGATAATACTCCTTAAGATTACAATACACCTAATGCAAATTACTCTTGATACTCCCTGTGATAGCCTGAAGGGTCGGAAGAGGAAGATGCATTTATCACAGTTCGTCGCCGGTGTGGGTAGCTCAACTCAGTTTACCAGTATATTTACGGCGAGTTAAATTAATAGGTTTTTGGAATGTATCCAAGTGCTCAACTGAACGTATATTCACATACATACGGTACAGTCATTCATAAAATGCTCCACCAATAAAATAAAGATAATTAATAAGAAGGAAGAAGACATGACATGTCTTATCTTTACGCTCCAGTGATGCCTCCGCTGACACCAGTTGCAGCAATACGAGCGGTAGCATCTGCTTCAGTGGAGCAAGTGATGCTGGTTCCAGCCTTGTTAACAAGGGGGAGAGCGAAGCATTGGGTTCCGACTGCACAAGGAGTGGAGACGAAAGCTCTAGCGACGCATTGAGCAAATCCACCTGCGACACATACTTGATCGCCTTCGTTGCAAGAGCTTCCAGCGGTAAGGCCGGCGAACTTAGCATTCAACTGCTGGCTTGTTGACCGTTGGCTAGGGAGAAGAGACTTAGTTTATATTTGGGATGAGAATAGTGAGAAAAACTCACAAGGGAGGAAAGGCTTCGAAGGATCGGGGGACGTAACCGCACCTGCGGCAAGAGCAGCTGCAGGGGCGGGAACTGTAGCAGGGGGTGCAGTGGGGACTGCAGTGGAGTTGTCGGCCGTAGCTGCAGGAGCGGCGGGGCTGGGGCTGCAGATGCTGCAAGAGCTGCCGCTTTGGAACTATTTGAAATGTATGTAAATCATGTATTGTGATGGATGAAGGAGTAAATTGGTAGACCAACCCAGCAGTTCCAGGACTGGTGACAAGGGTATTCAATTGCACACCATCGGTAACAGGCGTGTTCAAGGCGGGGCGGCAACCTAGTGGGTTCACAGCAGACACGCCAGGGGGAGATTTCCGGTTTGGTCCCTACTGAACTTGCCGTTCACGACTGTACCTTGGAACTGACAGTGGAAAATACCGTTCAATTCGGCATTACGAGGTGCTGTCTGGCAATAAGGAACCTGGAGGCTGTCTGAGGCATTTCGTGGTTGCTGGACGAAAATCTGAGCAAGCCTGATCATATCGGGATCGTTATTCAACGTCTTCGCGAGGTCGATCATGGCATCTGCAGAGTCTTGTTGGTCGCGGTTTTTACCAGCGGCGAGGAGAGTGGTGAAAGCCGTAAGGGAGATATCGCGACATTTTTCAGCACCACCGGCCTTTTGCTAAAGAAGAATATGTGGAAAGTCCTTTAGCAAGCAGCTACCCATTGCGTGGTAGAGTCGGAAATGGATTGAGCAATACGCTTCTGGTGAGCTGTTGGGGCAGCGTTGGTAGAAGCAGCTAAGAGAAGAGTGGTAGAAAGGATAGACGTGATTGCAATCATGGCGTTAAGAATTATCTTGAAATGGGGGAGAGGTTTGAAGAAAGAAGATATAGCGAATAAAGTCGTATAGTAAAGTAGAGAGCACTGGGCTCAATGTATTAACCTGAGGAATTCTACTCAACATCCTTCGTCTTATATAGCCCACAAGAGGTCACGTTCGGATCTGCGCTTCATAAGTAATATCATCATGTACACTGACTGAGTATACTTGCTGAGATTCCCGACATCTTGCAAACTAACCTGGATTCGTGGCTATTCGTGGATCCTATGATGGGAGCATTAGGATACGACCAGATGCGAATTTTGCTGGGATATAGTAGATCCTGATTCATCCCATTAGCCTGATTCAAGCATAGAGCTAAGATATTTGAGATAATGGAGTATGTATCTTACCATTTCAGCGAAATATTAATGAATTGTATTGTCCGTTAGTGACTGCGTGTAAAGGAGCCATCTGCGGATTGAGAACAGCACAGATAAGCTGTGTACTAAGTCGGAAGGCTTACAACTTATTCGAGCCTATTCCGCCTCCCAGTGACCTTGACGTATGTAACTTGCGGTAGACAGAGACGGGTATAGCCTTGCCGGAATTAACACATTCTAGAGGTATGATAGGCTCGGTTTTTGGAACCATAAATGGTACGTAGTAGGTTCTCCGGAGCCGCAACGCAGTGAACCCGAATCCGCGAGCTTCAAATCGGATTTCTGCCAAGGTGCCTATGGATACGCTAAGGAGCACAGGAAGTCGCAGACCGCAGTTAGAAAACAAATACTAATTGACTGATACATGCTGGAATCGCCTTCATTGTCCCAACCGCGCTCGATGTTAAGATCCAATATGGCTGTGAAATGAAAATTAACCGAGATAAATAGGACAACAGGATGGTAACTTTGTGCGAACCTGGTGATGCGATGTGTACTTCAGATGGTCAACTCTGTTCTTTGACGGATTGGCGCGCATCCCCTTCCCTTGGAGACAGTCACCATCCACCGAGCTAAAGTCTTCCTTCCGTACATGAGGTATCGCAAGTATGGGGTGTCGTCTGGCTTCTTAATTCAGTTGGTAAAGTGCGTCACTAGTAGTGACGAGGTTCGTCGTTCAAATCGACTGAAAGATAACTATTTTAATCCACTCAGGGACAGAAACTTTTTTTTTAAACTTGATCTAATATGTAAGCGCAGAAGATACAACATCGTATTTTTGAGTGTTCGTATTTCTTGTAGACATCAATGTCAAGTTCGAACTTCCCGGGTTCCTTATGGCAGCTAGGAAATTAGACCACGAAAATCTCTCAGATTTTTGAAGTTCTCGCTGGAAAGGTAGAGATGTTAATTTCGTATTCCAGTCATGCACTGTGTGATTCTTACCTCTTTCATGATCAGACTGAGACAACTATATTTGATTTAAAAGAAGTGTTTGTACAACCGTTCCCAGGTCATTATTAGGGTCAGATAATACAGTAAACTCCACTGGAAACTAGTTATATTGAGGTTTCCGAGTCGTTCGGGACATCAATGACTTACCCTGAATATTATTTTTGGAGTAATCATTGGACTGCAGTAATCGATTAGGGACCGATAAAAACAGTTCCTTGAAATCTACAGAGTCCAATCATTCAGTATTCTTAAATAAAACAGCCGTGATGAGTCCTTACAGTCACAAATATGATTAAACTCATTGGGTCTGTCACCATAGGAGGGTATATACTCATTGACTCGGATACCGAGGGCCAATTTCTCCTACTCCCCGTCACTTTAATAAGGTGCGAGAACTAGCCGAATACGTCCACCGACGGACATACCTGCAGTAGATCACACTTCGTGAATAAAATAATGATGTGATGAGGACGGCGTTGACCATAGTTGAAGAGATATTGCCAAATATTCAAGGCATCCTGTATTCGATTCAGCCATGGAGCCTGAATAATATAATGTTAACACAGTTCTTCATCAGAAAGACGATTATGATACCTCCTCAGCCAATTGGTCAAAGTCAGAGATCGGTATATGGAAGATAATTGCCCGATTTGCTCCCTCCAAGTCAACTGTCAAAACAGGGGGGGTTGTATCATGAGGTTTCTACTAACCACTTGCGAGCTTACAATATCTGTCCCACATATATCGCTTAAAAGGGCGTTAATTAAAATCCAGCGCATACTTAACGTTCATACCTGTGTCTTTGAGCTGCACAAAGAGTCTGTGGTTATTCCCTTTACTAGTACATCAGTTCTTGGCAGGAAACTCACCATCCCACGTTATAGACTCGGCACAGTTGAATACCAGAATGAGCGGGAATGTTAACTGATAGCGAATAAAGTCCTTCTAATTTAATCCTAGCCTCTAAAATCTCCAAATCGCTTGGGACGATGGATGGGTCACAGAGACGGGGTAGCATGTCTAGATACCTGTCACTTCAGTTAGTAAAATTGGAGAAAGAGCACCAATTCAATGGAAAATAAACTTTTTATACTGCCGACAAAGTAGAATATCCTTTGTACAGAGCCGGCTTATTTTAAGGTAATCCTCCCAGATCTCATGAAAGACATCCCGACATTGTACGAGAACTTTCGTTGGATCGATAGATTCTGGCATCAGTTGAGAGGCGAGGTTCAGTTAATATCCATAGCGAATTGTATCACTTACTGTCTTCGAATATTTCAAGGCAAGTTTTCTTCCAAGCGGTCAAACTATTGAAAATAATAGAATAATCACTGTATTTGGAGGAACTTCTCCGCATATCGGAAAGATTATATTTGCTCCCTAGACTTTTCAGAAGTCGCTCTTCGAGGTTGATTAAAGGTGAGATCTTGTCAGCTAGAATCGAATACGAAGCTTCACGAAAAAGATTATTGACATTGTCTCTAGACGACGGGTGTATAGCACGAATAGTAAACTTGACTTTGCCTTGTTCACCTGGAACTGGAGGCTTTGGGCTTGGATTCCATTTTCGAGGCTCCGCGCGATTGCACAATTTATCGACCACTTTCCGTGTGCATTGGATGAAGTTGAGAATAATGATATAACGCCATGCTATACGTTCTGCATCAAACGTAGTGTCATATACTCGCTGGAATTCTATAGCAAGGCTATCTTTATTCTGAGTCCAAAAAGGTATGCGCCATTAGAACTCACGTTTCATCAATGTGCTTTTTCCACTTCCACTCGGTCCTAAAAGAAGGATCCTTAGAGCTTGAGGATTGCATTCAAGGCCTTCGTGATGTGCCGCGTTAATTGCAGCGTCTATCTCGTCACTGGCTTCTTTGGCTACTCTTTCTGCTGCCAGTCTTTCCTCTTGTTGTGGATTGGATTCGTTGGAAGGTGGTCGAGTAACGGCATCAAGAGGATCCAGGGACCTACGTTGAGTGGGTGGATGTAGAGACATCGGGTACGGAGAGAGAAAAGTTTAATCGCTGGATAATCGTCTTAATTTCTGTGAAAGTTGTAGCCATATTCCATCTCCATCAAAGAATTTGATGAGCGATACGTTGTCCACTGTTGTCACTCAGGTTTGTTCGTTACTAGAGAGATCCTGTGATGCCTCGGTATCTTTGGAGAACATTGAAGGAGGTATGCCTAGCCTATAGCACAGGCCTAGAACTGGGTATCAGATCTATCTAAAGTGACCACTAAGGTGGTGGTGGTGCCGGACTAGGTCCCAAAAATGGAAACGCCGGGGGCTGTACGTACACTCTATGACTAAACTACGCCATATCAGGCCTTATGACTAAGCTCTTGTCACTTGTGATGCACTAATACAGGCATGACACGGCCAACCAAGGTCAGGATGATGTTGAACAGCGATGTCGGCAGCTACAATGCACCGTCAACGTGGTCCCTTCCAGAGAGTCCGAGCATGGGGCATGCCACCTTGCTCCTACACACCTCCTTTCCGATTGCACCCTCTCACGCAACGACCACCACGCACCTCCACTTTCGGCCCGTCCCATCGGGAGTCGCAGTGGTACGGTTTCAACGTCTAATAGGTCCGACTCAGATCGACGCTTGCGCTGCGCTCGCGCTCGCGCCAGCTCGAGGCCTCGGGAGCTTCTGGGTACGAGACTATAAAGTCTAAGACACTTAACGACAAGTTGCCACGAAGTTGGGTGGAGCCGGAAATTATCCCGAAAATTGACTGGCCTCGGTCCTCAATGTCGATGGTTATTATTCGGTTGTAAATCTTTGAAGCGTGAAGTCCAAACTACATACCGAAAACTTGCAGCCTTGGAGACTTCAAGATGAAGTAGTACTAGTAGCTAAAATGGGAGTGAGGAATGTCATCAGTGATCGATGATCTGTGGCACTGATAAATACTTAAACGATAAGTGACTAATTGGTGTTCAGGATAAAGGTATGAACTTACTTTGCTTCTAAACATTCCAATACATGCTAATTGGTAGGAAAGACCAAAGTGGACTGTGGTGTTCGGGTTGGTGGTGGGTTTTTCGCGAAAGACCAAAGTTAGACGAGAATGGCACCTCATGTCATGTCCAAAGGAAAACCCAACGTGTATCCAGACAATTTCGTCCAATTTAAGATTCTTGACACAGTATAAATTGGGTACGACGTGTACATCTCTGTGAGATGTGCCACCACCCTTCTCCCGTCAACGTTGTACCAAGTCTCATGGTATCGATGCACAATTGCAAGTGCAAGCAAGTAAAAAAATGGCATAACCCAGTAATAATTGTCCTTTATTGGTCAATTGTGACGACGGGAACAGTTTGTGCTACGCTTCTCAACGATTCTCTTAGAATTGTCAGCGTGGTCCTCGTGGTCCTCGCAGGATTCCTTGGCGCATAGTAAGCAAATATTCGCTTGGAATTAATACATGGGTTTAAATGGGAAAAATAGCTTACATTTAGGTCAATATTTCGAAACACGAGAAGATACTCCATCCTAGTGGGTCTGATTGAATTTCTATCAGAATCACGCATGCTGAGTCTTCGTGGCATCTAGTCAAGCTTATGCATGGTCTCAGTCTACAGGCTCTCTACTTCCAACTCATACAGACAAACAACCCCAACCAGAGGAGTCTGATAGAACGCGTAGTTCATCAACATCAACTGAAGTTCTGAATGAGAAGAAAATCATGGCAGACTCTAAGACACAGGGTTCCTCAGTACAAAATATTAGAATATCATGGTCCTTGACTTCAAGGGACGATTTCAGTGTCAATGATTTCTCTATGGTATCTTCAACTACCATCTATCATAATGTCTGCAGTCCTTCTACATCGTCGCCTTCCGATGACAATCCTGGCCAGAGGATACCAATTACATAGGTAAGAGTACTATATCAGACATCTTTCTTGAAAATATACTCATATGCACGGACAAACCCAGAAGATGTCAAGAGACCAAAACATTTATATAATTGGTGTAATCCATGAAACCAATGTTTTCTGAAGCTTGTATCATAGGAGATATGGATACATTAAAATACAATCTCTGGAGGATGTAATCGTATCACGACATCTGTACGTTCATCTTTATATATGATTGGTGAGCTATTGGTGAGCCTTAGCCTTGACAATATCAGAAGCCTATGGGGCAAGTATTAATAATGAGTTAGGTTAATGTATGTAGCCTAATTACCTTTTCGGCCGGCGCATAGATTGTTGCTAGCGGATGAGTAGTAATATGAAGCCTGAGTCCAACGATTTTTCAGTTTAATATGGAAATATAGAGCTGAAGAACTTACGGAAACACGCTAGCATCAACTATTCTCAGGCTTTGTGTTTCATATGCGCGAAGAGATGTATCTGCAACGCCTCCTAATTCTCTTGGAGCCATACTGCAGTCCCACTTGGATGGAACACAGACTGGAAACGCGTCAAAGGTAGGGCTATCATGATAAATGATGTTACGTACTCCGACAGAAGAACGGATATATTTATCGAATTGGTCGCCTTCCGTTAAGTCTTCGATACCAGCAGGTTGAGTATACTCAAGCAAATAGTCTTTGACCAGTTCAGTGGCCACAAAGGTTCTTGAGGACTTGAGGAATGCTCGAATGACTCTAAGATCTTCATATTTTATTATAAGTACATAGCGGATATTTGCAATAAAAGCCACGTACCAAAGGCACTTCCCAAGAAGTTAGGGTCGACATTCGGCTT